GTAGTAGAGCTTCTTGTGATTTTACTCCAAATTTCTGTAATTCCCAATGGTTTTTAGCTTTTCATATGTTTTCGTGATGTGCTCTTGTTTGTGAGCTGCCTGTCTCAGGCTCTTGCACTTTCTCAGTTGGATTGATTGTGCTTTCTTATTGTTAGTAGTACCACTGCATATATTCTGAGAATGGGTCTATTTGCAGATTATTCCTTCAAACTTATCTTGCTTTTCTTAAAAAAAAAAAAAAACACCAGGATGAGGCTGGATGAATGATGGAAACCACTTCCAAATCTTGCCCATAAAAAAAAGCTCCAAAACTGCATTCTCTCATTCACATTTAAATAGTTGGATACAAATACTCATGGTGAATATAAAAGTGATAATAAAAATGCATTCCTAAAAGCAGATTCACAGTCCCGTTCTATCTCTGTCATAGATTTTAGGTGAGCTACAAATGAACTTCCATTGTGCTAAGATACTAAGATTTTAAGATTAACCAATTAAGGCAGCTAGGATTATTTTTGCTAAGATTTTTACACAGACACACATATTCTCTCAGACTGGACTTAATTCATATTAGAACTCTGAGTTTAAAACACCTGGATGTAGTCTCCAGCAAAGACTCATTTAATGCTCAGTACAAATGAAATGCCCTTGTAACAGTCCTAGGGCATTCCTGCTTTTATTAAACGGAAGAGTGGACATTGTAATTGCCAACTCCGGATTCACATCTAACTGGGTTTCAATCATATCTTTGTTATTCCTTGGCCATATGATGTGAACACGTTATTAAAACCCCATGTGTATTTTGGTCCTTCAACTTTAAAATGGTGTTACATCAAGATACAGGTAGACAATCTAAGGGCATGATTCCAGACCTATCTGACCTTGATTTTGAGACTCAAGCTTTGTCAGTTACAGAACTCTGCAACTTATGCCCACCTGTAGACAATGAAGTAGCTACAAGCTCATGTTCTAGAGCCCAACTGCCTATACTCAAACTCATCTCCCACTCAAAATTAGATTCAACATCAGATTATAACATGAAAATATCACAGGGGCTCACTTACTGCTTCCTCTTCCAGTCCTATTGTAGTATTTTGTACTTGTAACTTTCTAGCCTGTTTCTGAAAGAGATGCCCCAATATTGTAAATCAAAACTTTCAGACCCTGCAAACTCAATTCAGAATTGCTTTTATCACTCCCTGGCTCTGCTACCTAAGATATTTACTTCTTCTCTATGTCCATTTTCCCCGTTGTTAAATAGAATGAAAATGGTAAGCCACATTCTAGCATTGCTATGAATGTTGTGTGCATGTTGGGCATTCCATGTGTGTTGGCTTCTATAACTCTTTTTGCTGGTTGTTGTTTATCTTCCTTTTTCACCAGCTCTGACAGGTTCAGAGTTAACTTTCCACTTTTCCAAATTTAGCCTGCCACAAGCTTTTCCTTAATCCTTCATCCTTGCTCTTTGTTGCTGCACATATTCCTTTCTGTAACTTCATGAGTTCTGTATAATCTGATTTGAACAACCTTGTTTGGTTTCTTAAACCTAGGAGTATTTGTTTTTCCTATGGCCATTGTGTTTCCAATTCCACTCTTTCCTTCTATACTGAACCTGAAGTCACTTACCAGATTAGAATTTACAATAATGACACTGGCAAAAAAAAAATTGGTCATAAATAACATTCTAAAAGCTGGCTGCACAGTGTCTCAGACCTATGGGTGTCATTTGGATCCAACAATGCTTCTGAAATACGGGGATTTTAGGATGATTGAGAACTATGAATACTGATACCTCAAATGTAGAACAAACTTGTGTCAACTGCAGAAGAGACTTAGAACACAGGGATTTTTGCCTACTCCCTCATTTCAACTTGAAGCAGCAAAATGTACAAGATACCATGCTGTTACAGGGTTTGAAGGGCACCTCTATGCAAACCTTCCATGGACTTATGATAGCAGTTAAAGAAACTATGTTGCAATGATTTTTTTGTGTGTGATGCTAACTTTTTTAGTCCACAAGCCAGATCACTTTTGCTTGGTGTGGCCCAGACACAGCTGTTGCCACCATTTGGAGAATGAATCAATGGGTGAAAGATTGAACTCTATGCTCCTCTAGCCCCCTCCTGTTTTTCTCCATCATTCTGACTTTCAAATAAATAAATAAGTAAACTGTTTTTTAAAAATTATTTCATTTAGCCTAGGGTTTCATCAAACAGTTCATATCAGGTCTAGCCAAACTGACAAGCAGAAGAAGCTGTTACGCTAGCCACAGTATTAAAGATATGCTGCATACAGGGAAGGGCTCTGAGCACCACAGCTCCCAGTTGGGTTACAGAACAGTTGTCACTTTACCTTCAAAAGATTCTCTAGCCCCATTATTACCTGCCCCTTTCTGAGTACTTCTTTACAGCCTGGAGGACGGGGCTGTGCTAGTGTTGGAGATGGATTCTGAAGGACAGAGTGGTGCCTTCTGGGGGAAGTAAGCTCTAGCAAAGAGTTCTTCCTCTATTTCCTCATGTAAACACTTCCTGTACTTTTTTGTCCTGTTGTTTTTAGTTAGTCTCTGCTAGAATGTCTCTCTGATGAGAATTACTAAAGTAAAAAAGGGCAACATATAAAGAAAATTAAAACTTGAATACTTACAAAAGAAGGCTACTGTGATCAGGGCACAGTAGAACAAAAGCATTGTTCTTGATTTCACAGAATAAAAACAGAGAAGAAAACATGTGATTGGAATAATAACTGGAGTTATAAATGAAGAATGACATCAATGAAATACGATTCAAAGAAATGAGGAGGGAGGTGCAGGAGTAGAATAAGCATACAGAGAAACTTCAGAAACAAGAAGTAAACACCTAGACAGTAATTCTGAATCCTGGCTGTAGTAACTTACATAGGTAACTCAGAGTTTTGATTTTCATTTTCACACCAGAGTGGGTGAATATTCCTAGAATGCTATGTGTCACATAAAGAAAGGAGAGAATCTCACCATGTAACCAGCCATGGGTTAAGCAACAGACTTGTTTTTTTTAGATTTATTTATTTTCATTGGAAAGGCGGATACACAGAGAGGAGGAAAGACAGAGAGGAAGATCTTCAGTCCAATGATCCACTCCCCAAGTGACTGCAAAGGCCAGTACTGTGCTGATCTGGTGCCAGGAGCCAGGAACTTCCTCCGGTCTCCCACGCAGATGCAGGGTCCCAAGGTCTTGGGCCGTCCTCAACTGCCTTCCCAGGCCACAAGCAGGGAGCTGGATGGGAAGTGGAGCTGGATGGAAGTGGAGCCACCGGGAATACAACCAGTGCCCATATGGGATCCTGGCGTGCTCACGGCAAGGACTTTAGCTGCTAGGCCACAGTGCCAGGCCCAAGAAACAAACAATATAGCAAAGCAAAATGGCAGAGCGCCAGTTTCAGCAGGAGCAAGTCTCTCAAGCACCCTTAGAAGAGGAGTTCTAGGGCCAGAGCAAACCCTCAATATGGTTGGGGTTCTGTTGTAATAGATGGAATCTATCCCATTGTGAGTCTTCCTAGGTGCCCTATGTGTATGACAGAGTGACAACGTGACTATGTCAACAAGCAAATGAGCAGATTCTTAGTGTAAGAAATCTGAATCCAGGATGCCAGCTATTTACAGAAATTTTCTAGAACTAAAATATTACCCTTCACAGAAGACTGTGAGTAGCTGAGAATAGCAGGTATCTGCAGCATATCACTGCTACACCTGAAGTGAAAAAGGACCCAACAATGGGCCGATGTTATGGCAGAGCAAACAAACCACTGTCTGCAAGCTGGCATGCCATATTGCTGTCAGTCTGAGTCCCGGCTGCTCCACTTTCAGTCCAGCTTTTTGATAACAGTCTAGCAAAGGCAGAAGAAAATTATTCAGGTATTTGGGCCCCTGTTACCCAAGTGGGAGATCCAGAAGATGCTTCTAGCTTCAGACTGATTCATCATGGGCCACTGAAACCAACTGGGGAGTGAACCAGTGGATGCAAGTTCATTCTCTCTCTCTCTCTCTCTCTCTCTCTCTCTCTCTCTCTCTCTCTCTCCCTCCCTCCCCCCCCCCCCCCGCAACACTGACTTTCAAAATAAGTAAATAAATCTTTTCTTTAAAACAAACAATATGGGCTGACTGTGGTGGTGTAGACAACAATACCATCCTATATGGTCACCAGATCCAGTCCCAGCTGCTTTGCTTCCAACCCAGCTTCCTGTTAGTGTGTATAGGAAAGCAATGGAGAACAGCTCAAGTGCGTTATTTCTACCGCAATGCGGGAGATCTAGAAGAATCTCCCAGCTCTGGGCTTTGGCCTGCCCTCCAGCCATTGTGACCATATCCAGTAAACCAATGGAAGAAGATCTGTATGTGTGTGTGTGAATGTGTGTACACACACTCTGCTTATCAAATAAATAAACAAAATACAATGTTGTTGTTAAAGGGGGACTGAAGAATAAATATTTTCATGTCACCCTACACTTCTCAGTCATACAGAACAGCCCAGCTCATCCCCATTCTCCAGTCATGGAATTGATGCTAACTAGCCCCTAGCAAAGACCTGCTCATCCTACCCTTCAAAATAATTTTAAATGATAACTCCTCTTTAGCTGTCCCTAAGGCAACCAGACAATTGAGCCCTATATGTGGCCTGAAGGCTTGGTTCTCTGCTTGCAAAGACCGAGAGCAGTGGCTGAAGCCAAGGTTATACACAGCAGGACATATTGGCATATGTGAGCTAGGGAAGGATTAGTATATCTTTTGAGGCTGTGGCCATTTTGAAAAATTCTGACATTGAAAAAATAGGGAAAGAAAGTCTAATTTGGCTTTCTAATAGTCGAGCTGAATGTTGACTCTTTTAATAGAGGAAAAAAAAAAACTTGAGCTTAACAAGGAAAGATTATGAATGGGAGGATGATTGGATGGTTCACATAATGGATCTTCCTGGCAGCTCTTCTACTTCCTTGATGTGCATTTAAGAGGCAAGCGTGGCTCGAGGGACTCTGTTTCTCCAGGACGTCCCACTGTGCCTCCTCCAGCATGCATGCTCTTCAGTTCCTGCTCAGGGCCAGCCCTGTGGTGCTCCTGGTTCTCTGCCTGCAGCTGGGGATCAGCACATCTCAGGAAAACACGTGAGCCTTGCCATCCCTCTCCCTGCCCAAACCAACAGCAATAGCAGATTTACAGGGAGGGCGCCTCTCCTAACCTGAAAGTTTACAATTGCCTTTTCTAAAGATACTTTAAATTCCCCTGAACTCTAGTCCCAAGATCTCTGTTGTATATTGGAACAGGTTGTACTCCCCTCCTTCTAGGAACATCCATTGGTCTCCTCGCATTTCTGCAAGTTTTCTTCTAGGCTGCCTGTAGAAATATAGAAGTCCCAGAGTACACACAGACTGTAACTATCAACCTTCCTCCTCAAACATTGTGATCCACATGCTGTCCATTATCTAGAATTCCATATCGATTTCTGCTAAGTGTTCCTCATCTCACATACAGCCTCCTGGAAGCCACAAGTTAACATGTCTTCAAGTTCCAAACATACTTTAGGGCAGATGTGACAGGATTCATTAAAGATGACAGGTCCTGGCCATTGTCTCATTTAGCAATCCCAGCAGCCTAAACATTCTACATGTTCTAAAATTTGAAAATGAATTCTGCTAGTGCCTCTTGCCACCATCCACATGGTACCTTTTTTACACAGGTTTAAGAGTAACTTGCTGAACTGAACTTGAAATGTGGATAAGCAACAAGGTGGAGGAATCCACCATGGGGGGAGGAGTGGGGGAGGAAAGGGGGGGATTCCAGTACGGAAAAAGCTGATTCACATAATGCAACGTAATAAAAAAAAAGCATGAAAACAAACAAACAAACAAACAAACAAAGAGTAACTTGCTAAGCGTCTATGTGTGAAACTAACAGGAAAATCGGTGAAATTGAAAGAAAGTTAAGAAATGGAACCAGGAACAAGGGAGAAGCAGAGATGCTCAGATAATCTAGGGAGATATCTCAATAGCAGCAGGATTTGGTTTTGTGCATCATGATTAGGGAGATGCTTTCTGTGATGGGCCGAAGATTCCAGAGGAAACTGGTAAGGATTTTGGCAAGCTGGGGCAATAGAGACACATGTCTCATGACACTTGGTTTGAGGACAAGTTCAGATCAAGGTGACACTACATGTAGTGCAGAGGTACACCGAGGTATATATTTTTTTAAAGATTTATTTTCATTATTTTTTTTATTGGAAAGGCAGATATACAGAGAGGAGAGACAGAGAGGAAGATCTTCCGTCCGATGATTCACTCCCCAAGTGAGCGCAACGGCCGATACTATGCCGATCCGAAGCCAGGAGCCTCTTCCAGGTCTCCCACGCTGGTGCAAGGTCCCAAAGCTTTGGGCCGTCCTCGACTGCTTTCCCGGGCCACAAGCAGGGAGCTGGAAGGGAAGCGGGGCTGCCGGGATAGAACCAGCGCCCATATGGGATCCTGGCGTGCAAGGCGAGGACCTTAACCACTTGGGCCACCGCACCGGGCCCATCCGAGGTATATTTCTGAGAGTGACCAATTATCCAAGTTCGCCCAGGACTTTCCCGGTTTTAGCACTGATGTCCTCTCATTTCAAAAAATCCCTGGGTCGAGGGCCAACTGGGAGGTGAAATCAGTCTAGCTAAGCCTGTCTTTCTACTAATGTTCAACTCATTTTGAGAACCCTTAGACCTTCACAATCCCTTCCTGTGCACTGGGAAACTCCTGGAACAGTTTGTACTAGAAATGGAATTTCCCTATAAGGTCTTTGATGCTTTACCATAAAAAATGGAACTTTGAGGGCCCGGCACGATGGCGCAGTGGTTAAGGTCCTCGCCTTGCATGCCTGGGATCCCATATGGACACCGGTTCTAATCCCGGCGTCCCTGCTTCCCATCCAGCCTGTGGCCCGGGAAAGTAGTCGAGGACGGCCCAAAGCTTTGGGACCCTGCACCCACGTGGGAGACTCGGAAGAGGCTCCTGGCTTCAGACCAGCATAGCATCGGTCGTTGCGCTCACTTGGGGAGTGAATCATGGGACGGAAGATCTTCCTCTCTGTATATCCACCTTTCCAATAAAAATAAAATAAATCTCTCTAAGAAAAATGAAACTTTGAAGCACTGTGGGCTAGAAAAAAAAAAAACTTATTTGTTTTTCTGTTATAATCAGTACCACAGGTCTTTGTCAGGTGTTTCTGACAAGTTAAAAGTAACTCTCCTGACCCTAAACCCAGTCTCCATCGAATAAAAAGGAGAGAAAGGTCTAAAGATAAGGGTACTTAGCTGTCTGAATGCAGAGTGAAATCTAAAGTTCCCAAACATGGCTATGGTCTAATGTTCCTAAAAAGGTAATAAATGCTAACCCCTAGACCCTACCCAAGAAGCAGAGAAGGAGGATTTTGGAAAGCTGACCAACAAATTCCTTCAGGGCATTGAAATGTTTACTGGTTTAATGTGATAATTCAAATAGAAAATTTCCTAATTATACCTTGGGCCCTCCCATTCAGTAGTCATGAGTCAGAACCTGTGAGAAGGTGTTAGGAGATCCCATGTAGTATTGTACTTTAATTCTTTTTCTAAAATTTACTTTCAATCAATGGAAAGAAAGCAGATGTTCCATTTTAGAAGCTGTAAATTGTAGATACTGTTTCATTTTAGATACTGCTTAGATATTTAATAAATACAGCCAAATCTATGCAAACAAGCAAGCCAACCGATTAACAATTCCCAAGGAATCTGACATTCTGCAGTTGATCCCACAGCGTGCCTTCCTGGTAGCAGCCGGTTTACCTGGCCTGGTTATGGCACCTACATTCTCTACTGAACCAGTCTCTGATCTCCATGCCCTGTTCCTCTCTTCCTAGACGGCAAACGATAAAAATGGATTTCAAAGCGCCTTCAAGCACAACTGCAGATGAGGAAGTCTCTGTGACACTCAAGCTTGGAACAGATTTGCAAGAATGTATGGTGGTAAGTAGAGGTCTGAGACAGTGACCTCAAGACAAATTTGACTTCTTAACGATGAATACACTTTACCCAATCTCTCACTTTAACATTGCATGCTTAATATAATACAATTAAAGTATTTTCATATATGTTATACTATTTAAGCATTAGAACAATAATGAAAACTTGGGGGTAAATGACTACTTCCATTTTTTTTAAACCTAAACCCATACTTTTTTAAAGATTTATTTATTTTTATTACAAAGCCAGATATACAAAAAGGAGGACAGACAGAGAGGAAGATCTTCCAACCAATGATTCACTCCCCAAGTGAGCACAATGGCCGGTTCTGTGCCGATCCAGAGCCAGGAGCCAGGAACTTCCTCCAGGTCTCCCACACGGGTGCAGAGTCCCAAGGCTTTAGGTCATTCTCAACTGCCTTCCCATGCCACAGGCAGGGAGCTGGATAGGAAGTGGAGCTGCTGGGATTAGAACCGGCACCCATATGGGATCCCGGTGCGTTCAAGGCGAGGACTTTAGCTACCAGGCCACGGCACTGGGCTCGACTACTTCCATTTTACAAATGAAGAAATTCTGGTCCAGAGAGGCATAGGAAGTATGAGACTGAGAGAAAGACAGACAGGAAGTAAGAGAGAGGATAGAAGAAGCGGGGGGAAAAAGAAAGGATATGAGAGCCAGTGGGAACTGTGTCCTGGGCATTCCTAGTTTTTGTAGCAGGATGGGATGGGAGCCTCAGAACTCTCTAAAACCCGACGGAGCAGGTGGAGGCAGGTGGGGAGAAGAGGATGTACAGGAGATGGTTCCACTGCAACGACCCCAGAGTCAAGTCTGCTTTCTTTTGGCTCTTTTGCTGCTCTCTGGCTCCACATCAGAGCTTGACTCTTGGTCCAGCTTCCCTTCCCTTCCCCCCAGCTAGTGGCTATTAGCTGGAAGCCCAACTCTGAAGTAGAACCTGGGCATCTCATTCAAATGCAGGTTCTGATCCAGCAGGTATGGGGAAAGGCAAGCACTTAGTTAAAATGAATAAAAATAAATGCATGAGATAGTAATGCTCATTTCTACATTTTTTATCAACACATGAGTCAGTAAGGTAACACAGCTGAAATACGAACAAGTGAGATTTTATTTTGTGAAGACACTAACTGTGCGGTAAATGCTGTTGTTTGAAGGCAGGAGGACATTAAATTGCACTCCAGCTCTTGACAATGCATATTGTCACAGAGAACAAAGCCCAAGCCACCAGGGACTGTGGATACCATGAGCAAGAGAAAGGTATTGGGCCAGTATCAACTCACACTCGTGTGTTCTTCACCTGGCAATGAGCTACACGAGTACCAAAGAGAGAAAATCTACCCCCTTGTAATAGCCTTTGCTCTTGGGCCAAAATGGAAGCATACTCCATTCTCCCAAACCTCAGCCTATTCCTGGACACCCTGATGAGTGGGTAAAGTGTTTCCTAAAGCATGAGTTTCCCAATGCAAATGTAATTTAAGGACAATGACTAATTAGGAAACAAAACTTGGAACATGAGGATTGCTGTTCATTAAAATGCATTCTCAAAATATCCCCACACCTGTAAGAGAAAGATTCTTGATCCCTGAGCCAGGAATATGACATCTGTTTTGTCAAATTGTTCGGCTCCCTCTCCAACAGTGTGAGCCATGTTCATTTGGGTGGCATGGAGGCTGATTCACAATTTAGCAATTTTATGTTTTATCATAATCACAGATGAGAAAGAATATGTACATAATGTGTGAGTGAAATTTTGGTGATAATAGTGGCTTTCACTAGTGATGGATCATGACAATACATTTCTACTACTAAAAAATGATGAGTATCATAAAAGGTGTTTAAACCAACAACATGGCAAGTGTTAGAATGTTGTGCCATTGTGAGTTATAAAAGTATGCTTTTAAGAATCCCATTAGTGATCCTTAAAATAAACGCAATAAAATAAACTCCTCTTTCTAAACCTCGCCAAGCGCAATAAACAATGCTTTTGCAAACTAGAAAAAAATTCATGGCAAGGAAATTTTTGAAATACAGGAAAACAATTAGATTTGTAGCTCTCAATTTTAAAAGCAAAAGTATGAAATAAAATTTAGGAAAATGTAATTTATTCACATATTTGTGAAATTTCTACTGCCTAATCTTCATTTGCCAGTTATGACTTCACATTTGAATTTTTTATCAAATGGAGCTATAGTTCATATTTATTTATTTTAATATTAGTGTAGATTATATATTTAATCATGTGTTTGAGTTATTTACTATCCTTGAAAGCTTTAGAAAACTTGTGGAAAGCCACAATATTTAAAATTTTTGTGCTCTGGGTCATTTTCTGGCTTTGAGGTGTATGGATTATTTATCAGAAAATTGTCTGCAAATGGATAAATAAATGTGTTAGACTACATAGGAACACTACGGCATTGGATAACAATGATAAAATTAATAAGAATAAATGCATGAGATAATAATGCTCATATCTACATTTTTTTTACCAACACATTAGTCAGTAAGGTAACACAGCTGAAATACGAACAAGTGAGATTTTATTTTGTGAAGACACTAACTGTGTGGTAAATGCTGGTTTGAAGGCAGGAGAGCATTAAATTGCACTCCAGCTCTTGACAATGCATATTGTCACAGAGAACAAAGCCCTAGCCACCAGGGACTGTGGATGCCATGAGCAGAACAGTTGAAGCTAAACGTAGTAAAAGTGCTTTCATACATGTCATTCTATCTGAGCATCAAAACAGCCCTGGAACTTGGGTCAGATGACCACTCCCATTTTGCAAATGAAGAAATTCTGATCCAGAAAAGCACAAGAAGTATGAGACTGACAGAAAGAAGGAAGGTGAAGTGAGAAAGAGAGGCTAGAGAAAAAGTGTTAAGAACTGGGGTAGATTAATCCTTTACTAGACATTCAGTATATTGTGATTTTTGTTTTGTTTTGATTTGATTATATAAGTGCTGAAAACCCAGATTCACAAAAGTATATTGATGTAAGTAGTATCAGAAGGTAAACACAGGAATGATAGGCAAAGGACTCTCCAAAGCCTTAACTTGCAGTGGTAAGAACACTCAACTGAACAGTTTTTGATTGGACTGTTGGGTACAGAGTTGCCAGACATCTGAGCAAGCTTCAGCAGAGAGCAGGTGGGAAGACAGCCTCAGTTATGCTCAGGAGCCACTCTGATAACCACCACACATTAAAGGCTATGAACCATGAATGCAAGCAATGTTTTGAGATATCTGACAACATGCAACTTGGTATGCATACATCCTGTCCACACTGCCAAGACAAGAGTTCAAGGAGATAAGGAAGGAAGACCTTGCACAGACCAACACATGGGAGGACACTACAAAAGTAGACTCAATGTACAATCACCTGGCTATTTCTTCTTCTCCCATGCCAGCACAGACTAATGCTGAGTCCCCTCTTCCACCTTGTTTCCTAAGGTTAAAACTTACCTCATTAGCAACGTGGAAATTGAAGGCGGATTCAACTATCGATACACCATCTGCCTCTGTAATGACAATGCAAGAACCTTATTCTGGGACTTCTATACAAACCGTGAGTACAGGAGCTGTCCAAGGGAAGAGTCATCCACCAAGGGAGGAAAGCTAAAAACAGAAACATGGCTCTGGAACCAGAGTACAACTTCTGCAGTGGAAACAAGAAGAGGCCGGAGGGAGGGAGAGTGGGCGATTAAGTGGGGATGAGAGGTTGTGTGAGAAAACCCAAGAAAGGAGATCGAGTTTGTAATGACTGGGAGAAATTGAATCCCAGTGCTGCAGTGTATGTTCCTAGGAGAAAACAGAGGTCCCTGGACTAGAGTGTCAGACAGGTGATCTTTGTTCTCATCTCTTTCAGAAACTGCAAGCATAGTAGCAGTGGTGGACATTGTTCGGGAACTAGGTATCTGTCCAAATGATGACGCAGTGACACCCATTAAATCAAACCGGTTCTATACTAGCATTCGTAGAGTGGTGGTATCTTAATGGAAGCTGACAGGTTCCTGTCACACCTGTGCGGTTCCAAGAACCCGTGACTGAGGTATCTGTACAATAAAGTTCTTACATGCTCTTCTCCATGTTCCACCATGTTTCTCCTTTAAAAATCTACCGCAACAGACACCAAAGGACTCAAAATATCCAGAATATTAGTATTTCAAGGCAGTTCTCCTATAGAGATTTTATGGACCCTTATTTTCCATTAGGATAAAGAGGAAAAAATATAATAGATTTTTAAGAAAGAAAGCAGATATTCCATAGGGAGGAAAGGTGAAAGTTCTAAAACTCAGAGAAAAGTGAAACTCAGAAGCAGAAGAGCAGTCATGCTCTCCCACAGAGGATCACCAATTCCTGTAGAAAAGCAGAAAATTTGAGTAGAAACATTTGTCCCAAGTCATCCACTCAGATCTGGTAAACTCCAACATTGAGATATTGAGCTTGCCAGCATTAACAGGAACAAGGTATTATGCCATGCAGAGAACAAAGACAGGGATCCTATCGACCCAATGCAGAGGGTGGAAACTGGATATTAGAAAAAAAAAAACTATTCAGGGCCCGGCGCGGTGGCGCAAGTGGTTAAGTCCTCGCCTTGCAACCCCGGGATCCCATATGGGCGCCGGTTCTAATCCCGGCAGCCCCGCTTCCCTTCCAGCTCCCTGCTTGTGGCCTGGGAAAGCAGTGGAGGACTACCCAAAGCTTTGGGAACCTGCACCCGTGCGGGAGACCCGGAAGAGGCTCCTGGCTTCGGATCGGCATAGTATCGGCCCGTTGCGCTCACTTGGGGAGTGAATCATCGGACGGAAGATCTTCCTCTCTCTCTCTCTCCTCTCTCTGTATATCCGCCTTTCCAATGAAAAAATAATAAAAATAAATCTTTAAAAAAAAAAAAAACTATTCAATTTGCAAAATCTAAGATAAATTTTAAGGAAAAATAACCAAACTTAGTCCTTCCTCACTCCATCTCAAGTAAAACTTCCAGCTGGAAAATGATCTTTGTTGCAATAAAATGGGATATCAATGAGGACAATTCCATGGTGTGCTGATTTGGGCTAAGCAGGGTGTCAAACGCTCCAGCATTCTGTGATTACAGTTACAAGGCATGATCTGAGTCTCTGGGTGCACAACTCTCCTAGACATAGAATTCCTCCAGCATGTGCTCTTCAGCCTCTATTCAAGCCCAGCTCTCCAATCTGCCTCTGGTTCTCAGCTGGAAGCAGGCAGCAGCACAGCTTGCGATGACACACAGGTCACTGGGAGTACACTCTCTCTGCTAAAAATCCCACCTCCTGCCTCCAAGAGATTGTTTCTTCAGGACATTTTCTGCTACTTTCTCACTCATATAAACAGACAGCTGAACTGGAAGTTGGGCAGCCAGGATTCAAACCAGCATTCACATAGGATATTAGTGTCATAAGTAGCAGCTTAATGTGCCACGCCTCAACAACAGCCCCCACTACCTCGTGTTTTACTTTTCCACCCTGAGAATCTCATCACCCTCCTTTTCTTTCATTGGGAATCATGGGCAGAGATGTAAACTTGCTCAACAGCTGAGGTGTAAGCTTTGCAAAACATGTCTGAACTTCACAGGTTAGGCCATGGTCACTACCTGTGTACAGGATTATATGCTACCACCAACTCGTAACCCTTACAGCCTCAATGGCAGCAGCAACACGGAACAAGATCTCCAAGAGCCAAACAGGTTTCTCCAACCAAGGAAAGGCAGAAACGTGTTTCTGAACTCCATCCTTTTCTGAACATTTCTCTATGTACAAGGCCCATTATATGCTAACGCTGGTCCCCAAATCTGTACCTACCAAAAAGAACAAAGGAAAAGAGTCTAGTTCCTTGAGAGGAGAAAGTCACTGAAGAGGACTACATCTTTTGACAAGAAAACACACTAAGTTCCAGGAAGCGTTCAGGCCTTCCCTGGGAGACATCCACATGCAGCAGACAGAATATGAGGACAGAAGTGTCTGGCAGATAGAAGTGGATCCATGAAGGTTTTGGAGAATACATTCTGGCCAAGGCTGAGTGTTTCTTTAAGGATAGACACAAAGAGGATAAAGGGATATATGAGGCCATATAAAACATATGTGACTTGGAGGACAGCTATACCATCTCAGGCTTATTTAGCCAACCCTCTCATGGGAACTATCATCTGAGAGTGTATCCCAAGGACCTTCCACCAGGCCTATTTCCCAGCCATCATACTGGATCAAGCCTTTCTTCTGTCAATACCATCAGTCCATAACTTGGGACTTAACCAGGAGCTGAGAGTCAAATTATTTTCCACCTATAGTACCTGTCATCGAACAAGCATTGACTGCCCAAGTAGCCACATTTACTACCATCCCCTCCCTCTTCACTAAGTATGTTCAACACCTACACTCTTCAGCTTTACTGACTTTGATACCAATCTCTAATTCTTCCAAGATTTCTTCAGGTTGTTGTTGTTTTAAACATAAACAAACAGACAACAAAGCTTCGAGAGTGTCAAAACCCCCATTAAAAATACCGATAGTAGCTGATAGTTGCTGAACTATATATAGTGCCACAAATGCTTTTAGGAAACCCCTTTTCCAGAAGGCATTTTATCTTATGTCGGAAGACATTCTGACACTGCCCTTCTCAGATCTGCATGCAGCAATTTCTTCTCTCATCTGGATAAACTCTAGTCACTTTTTATACATTCTCTGTGAGTAAAAAATTTAAAATTCTATTGGCTAAGGAAAATAGGTGTTAAATGATAGTCTACCAAGGACTTTTGGAAGCTAAGCATTTCTTTACACAATAAATAAGGAACTTTACATTCCTAAAGCTTTATACTCACAAATTATAAACCCATGAACCCAGATGATTATCAACACTCCTACTTCACACAGGCATAAAGAAATGCTTGGGGATTATGTGGTTTCACAGAGCTAGAAGCAAGGCAATTGGGATGATAAACTGCTTTTGTTTGTTTGATGGGTTTTGTTGTCATTATTTTCTCCACACAAGAGAAGCAGACCAATTTTTCCATTCTCCACATACCTAATGGCTCCTAGAGAAGCTAACTTACTCTCTAATGACTGCAATGTGGAGACCTTCAGCCCTGGGCTAGATGAAGCCCAGCAGATCCCCTACACACAGCACAATGGCACCCCCTTGTTGCTTAAATTGGTAAAACCAAAAATAGAAGTATCCATTTCATAAATCAACTGACAAGTCAAATGCCTGCGAGACACAAACAACTGTGGTGACTTCCATTTCCGGAGATGGAACGAGGTAATAGCTGACAACCTCTTCAAAGCTCATCACGCCAAAGAGCACATTGTTTTGTTTTCAACAATTATGATTAAGGATGAACATGGCAGGGGCATATAATTAAGAAAAGATCAAATAGTGTCCGGGATGGTGGAGAAAGTGTTAAGGGTATGAAAGTGGGTGGGTGGGAGAATCCCTGGTTGTCCTTTTCCAGTCATGCCCTAGTTACTGTTCATTTTGTTTAGTAGTTAATGCTGGGCTGCCTCCGCAACACCTGTACTCTCTTTAACCTTCGTTCATCTTCTTTTCTTCAGATAAAACATGTTGTAAGGCAAACCTAAAGTTTAATGATTATACTCATTTTGTTTACACTGCTTCTGTGTGTGTGTGTGTGTGTGTGTGTGTGTGTGTGTGTGTGTGTGTGTGTATGTGTCTATAACACAAACCTTCTACTGAAAAATAACAGCCTCTGGCAAGTGAAGACACTTCCTGTCTCAGCATGACAATGAGATAAAAAGAATGTTAAGAGTCACAATGAAAAAGGAAAGACCAATAGATAACAGAAAGCAAAGGAGTATGATATTGTAAGAAAAATGAGACAACATGATAGAAAGTGGTCGGGAGGTAGAATGCACAGGCAGGGGTACTGGCTGGGATCAGCTGTGCCTTGTACCTAAAACAGAGACGTGGGAACTGAGTGCCAGAAACACCAAAAGGAGAGTGGGATAGGCTGTGAGTGGACGTTAAGTGGAAGTCCAGGGACGAAGTGGTGGGGAGTCCCAGGCCCTGAAACAGTTCTGCTTGCTCTCTGATTCTCTGTCCACATGGATGACAACATACATTCTCCACCACTTCTCAATGCCTTCTCTAGAAGCTAGATATTCAGTGAACTCTCAGAGTGGTGTTAGCCAAGACATCGCAGGCAGAAAAGATCTCTCCATTCCTAGAACACGTATCATTTAAAAGAAAGACAAACTGCTGCCCTTTCTAGAATCAAAGGAGTCTACTACATATTACTGATCTAATGAACACTGGATCCATATCCTTGAGAGGTGATGCTTTATTGAGATGTCAGCATCAGTTCCTGTTGCTGAAGGGAAGGCATCGGCCAAGCCTGAATCACCTTTTGGTGAGAATAAATTCTTAATACTGGTTCACCCGTGAGCCATCACACAAACACCGGGCAAGCTAAAGGCAGAAGCCGACTGATGTCCATTGAACCAGTCCTCCTTTCTTCTTAATAATTCACTTTCTCCTTTGTGCAAGATAGTTTCTTATGAGCATTAATAGGAGACACAAAGATCCACATACTTTGTCTTCACGTACAGAGGGTCACCAAGATGATCTTGCTCAGATCTTTTGATGTCAAATATCTTCTTGTTGTGAACAGGTCCCTGAACAATCAACCAATAAATTGTCCATAGCCCAGGAATTAAGGTGCACCTCTCCAATACCAGGGAGGCTGCTTGTAGCTCTGTCCACTAAGGGTATTGTCACTGAACCATGCCTTTTTAGGCCCCTTTTTAGTGAAGTCTTAGTGTGGCCACAGTCTATCAATCTGTGTACAATAACAAATTAAGCCTATATGTGAACCACACCTGGATTTTATTTCCCTTCAACACTCTAACAACCCCTCTTGAGGTTGTAGTTATAATCTAAAAAGGAGGGTAAGAAAACCAAAAAGTACTCAATATGGACTGTAAATCAACTTCTGTAATGTAAGGCCTTATACCAGATTGCCCCTATACCATCTATTTCCATCACATGATGGAGTGCTATTGTATTGACCCAAATTTATAATTTGTGGGTCTCTCAACGTAGATCATTATGAGAAATCCTGGCCTCAGAACTACTTTACGGTTCATGGTCACATACCAGTTCTCCGTGAGTCCATAAGCTGGCCATGGGCTCCTTTTCTAGACATGGTTTCTTGCTGCAGATGTTGTGGTCTTGTTCCAGTGTCTAATGGGTCTGCTCTGTGCCACTCTCCCAGGGATTTACAAGCAACTCTGCTGCATATCATTACTCACCCCAGACTGACAAAGCTTCACAAAATCCAACAAAAATGCAGCCAAAAGTAAGGATTGTTTATGCCCAAATTTAAACCTGCTAAGGAGATTCCTTTTGCTCAGAATGTCACTCAACATTGTAGTATTTCTGATCCACCCAATAAATGAGACTAAATACGTGATTCTACCTCCAAAATTCACTGTCTTCTATGCAGGCTGCCTTCTGTTTCAGTAACACATTGTACAAGGTGTAATAGCTATGCTAGAAAATATGTTCCATTACATTCATGATGATTGAGACCTTAAAAACCTCACTGATTCAGCAGCGTCTAAAACACTTGTACCATGCATGCAATGGAAGGACATGTAGAATGCTTACTGTTTATCATGACCCAATTTACACAGGATCATAAGTATATAAATCAGAGTTCTGTTCTGTTGAATATCAGGATGATTGAGGTATCATTCTTAGCACAATCCCCGAGCAGAACTGTGTGTCTGACTGTTCACCCCAGAAAAAGTAGACTGCTCTTGACCTTTCTAATCAGAAGTGGGAAAATGGCATTCATCAGTTCAATATCCATGTACAAGTACCTCAGGCTGTATTGACTGCTCCTGTAGAGATATCACTTCTGATAGAGCAGCAATCAGTTTTTTTGTTGTCTTTGTTTCAACTTGATACAGTAGCCCACTATGGCTCAACGCCACCTATTGTATGAGCCAGACTGCTGAGTTAATGGAACCATAATACAGGTCCACTACGCATGCAACCTTCTAATTCTTCGACAGTGGCTCTTACCATTCCCTTCCATTCCACTAGAATAAACTGGGACTTATTGTCTTAGCCAGAGGATGAAATGTGATAGAATTTCATTTGGCCTTTCCAATCATAATAGTGCTTGCTTTACTTGTCAGATAGTCAATGGAAAAAGTCTGCATCCGTGGTTTATATTCGCCCCAGTTATGCATTTACATGCCTGAGGAGTGACCACAAGATGAGAAAAATGAACTCACTATGAGATCAACTTAGCCTAGAACGCCATCTATCACTTGGATTCCATAAAACCTGCTCTATCACAAAGACCTTAATGACATTTTTATGTCAGTCTCAACAGAAAACTAGCCTCTAGTCTCATTAAGAAGATGTGTGAGTCTGTGACTATGAGATGAACTGAAAATATGCTTTTGTAAAAATCAAAAACTATTTAAAAAGAAAGAAACAAGGAAGGAAGAGAGTGAACAGAGAACATGGGAAGGACGGAGAGTAGGGTGGCAATAGAACAATATTTCTAATCTATATTGTGAAATATGTGAAATTTGTTCACCTTATATAGATAATTCACTTTTAAAACTACAGTTCTAATAATCTGTGATTATTTTTTAAAGACTTAGAAAGACAGAGGGAAAGACAGAGAGATAGCTTCCATCCACAGATACACTCCCCAATGGCCAAATGCTAGCACTGGGCCAGATTGAAACCAAGAACTTCATCCAGATCTCCCACGTCAGTGGCTGGTGCCCAAACACAAAGATCTTACCTTCCGTTACTTTTCTCAGGCTATGAGTTATTAGTTGGATTAGAAGTCGAGCAGTCAGAAAAAAAAAGAAGAAGAAGAAGCTAAAGAAAACAACGTCAAACACCTAGGACATGAACCGGTGTACCCATATGAAATGCCAGCACTGTAGGCATCACCTTTACCCACTATGTCTCAGCGTCAGCCCCAATCTGTGATTAATTTAAAAGTCACCATCTTTCTCAGGAAGAATGTCATTTAGATTCATGGAAGAAATGATCACATGCCTTCATTTTCTAAACCCAAAGTCATGTAAAAATTAGACTTTTACCAGAGCACACTGAATAAAAACTAAACTGAAAATAGATGACCTCCTTGCATTCTTTGTTCCTTGTGCTGAGGTATCTGTTTACAAGATCATTGACAGAGATTAGCTGTACCAGGAACAAAGACAGTTTGATTTATGGACACCCATACTGGATGGTAACCTTGGCTGCTGTGAGTCGGATCAGTTTTTTTCAATCACAACAGTCAAACGAACAGTAAACATCCAGGCTGACTCAGAGAGCCAGTCCATAAATAACAGACACTACATCATTCAGAGGAAACACCTTTGCAACTTGAATGTCTATAAACATTAATCTGCACAATTTTCTAAAGATGAGACATATGTGTTTCATTTCTGTAGCCCAAGTGCCTGGTATACAATATATGCTCAAAAAAGTGTGAATGTGCATATATTTAACCTATTCAAAATATTCTCTTAGGTTTGAAAGGCAAATTTATAGGACCTGGCATGATACCTATTGGCTAAAGTCCTTACCTTGTATATGCCAGGATCCCATATGGGCACCAGTTCCCATCCAGCTTCCTGCTTGTGGTCTAGGAAAGCAGTTGCAGAGGATGACCCAAAGCCTTGGGAACCTAGACCCATGTGGGAAACCTGGAAGAGGCTCCTGGCTTCTGATCAGCTCAGCTCCAGTCATTAGAGCCATTTGGGGAGTGAAACAACAGAGGGAATATCTTCCTGTCTGTGTCCTCCTCTCTGTGTATCTGACTTTCCAATAAAAATAAAGAACTCTTTAAAAAAAAATAAGAAAGGCAAAGTTACAGAGAGATAGACGCAAAGAAAGAGACAAAGATTTTTTTCACTCACTGCTTTACTCTCTTACACAAAGAAACGAAGAAACTCTGAATGGATCACTAACATACATATAAAAGATAAGATTAGGCTCAGGCATTTGGTGTAGCAGATACCACCTTGAACACCCATACCCCGTATCAGAGTGCTTGTGTTTGCCATGTCTCACCTCCATTTCCAATTCTGGCTCCCTGCTACCCCACACCCTAGAAGGCAGTGGTGAGGGATCAAGTATTTTGTCCTGGTCTCCCATGTGGAAGACGCCAATTAAGTTTCAGATTCCCAGCTCCTGGTTTTGGCCTGGCCAGGAGATGGAGTTGTAATTTATGTGTTTCTCTCCCAAGCTTGGGTGTTCTCTCTCCCTCCACAGGCTCCCTTTTTATCTCCCTCTCCCAATCACTTTCTCTCTCCCTCTCCCTCCCTCAGATATCTCCTTTTTTTTTTTTTTTTGGTCTTGCTCATTCTCTCCTTCATGTTTCTTGCTCTCCCTCCCTCCTCTCTCCCTATGCTTCTCAAATAAAGAAATACTAGAAAACAAAATTTTTTATAATTTAAAACTATAAAACTTCACAAAGAAATGGGATATGTGTATAGCCTTGGGTCTGGCAACGAGTTTGGATCTACCCAAACAACATAGTTCAGCCCTGATTTGTGTGCTCATTAGTGGGAGCTACAGCCCACCAGAGGAGTTCCCCTAGGTAGTGCACAGCTCTAGCTTTTCGTGGGCAGTGGTCAAGGCTAACTAGCCAAGCTCTGGTCTCCCACATGGGCAAGTGCATTGGTCTGACCCAGAAATATACTTCAGTTTCCCTCCTGGCGACCTCTTGGTCTCAACCCCTTGCTCACCGGAAAAAGGAGCGGGGGAGACTTGTTGGTGGAAGTCCCCAGAAGTCATTCCCACCTGCAACATACTCCCTCAGCAGTCCCCCTCCCACACATCCCATACCCCCTTCCCTAGTCAATTCATAACCCCATGCCTGCAAGCACATGGGCTCTCCAGCCCAGTCTCCTGGAGGGGTGGCATGCTGGCCTAAAGCCCTGCCCGCCCACCTCAGACCCCAGATCCAGTCCTCCAGCATACATATTGGCCTGGGACCCTACCCCTCCACCCACAATAGACTCAAGTACATTAATGAATCCCCAAGCCCAGTATACCAGCAGAGGACTCCAGCATGCCAGCCTGAGGCCCTAACACCCTCTCTCTCTGCCCCTTCCCCCATGCCTGGGACCCAAGTATATGTGGGGTTCCCAGACCTGCTCTGCTCTGCCAGCCCCCAAAATGAGTCCCCAAGGCCCCTCATACCACCTAGATGTTGGGGAAAATATTTTAAAGGCACATAGATAATAAAGGACTTATGATTAGCTTAAGTAAAGAATTGTTCAAATTCAACAACAACAACAAAAAAAAAACCCAAATTTTTTTAATGGCAAAACATCTGAATAAACAAAAAGCACATGCTGGTAGCCAACAAGCATGTTGTCATCAGACAAATGCAAACTAGCATCAAATGAAATATCACCGTGTTTTTGTGAACAGCTAACAGAAACAAACAAAAAAGCAATCCTGGGTGGTGACAAAACATGTAGAGTAACTGTAAGTCCTAAACATCACTATAGAAATGAAAAACAGTACAGCTTCTCTGGAAAATATTTTGCCAGTTTCTTATACAGTTAAATACTTATCATACAACTCAGAAATCCTCCTCCTAGAGAGATTTACCACAGCAATGAAAATTTCTTTCCTTTTTTTAAAAATTTCATTTTATTTATTTATTTTGAAAATTTACAGGCGACAATATTTATGGAAACATGCATCATCACCAAAAACTAAAAACAGTAAGTGTTCTTTCTCTTGTCTGTCCATAGAAGAATGGATACACATCCAAGTAGATCTATACATTGGGAAGCTACTCCACAACAAAAGAGGCTTCGGTGGCTAAGTAAAAGAATCATGACCCAAAAGGCCACATACTGTGTTAACACATTTCTAATATAGTCTTAAACAAGCCAATCTATTGGGACATACAAAGATTTCAAGAGATTTTCAGGATAAGCTGGGAAAATATTACACATAGATGGCAGCAAGACAGAATTTATAGTGTAATGGGAGTGGCCCACATGTATTCTGGTGCTTGACTCATGAGCCAAATGCATATACTGCACACCACAATGGGAATTTTACTGTGTGTGTCTTAGAAGTCAACCAGAAAGTCCTGAGAAGAATGTAGAGTGTGAAAACTAAGTCTAAACACATGATAATGCTTATATTATAAAGTTCCTTCAGAAACAGATGTTTTGACTAGACAACACAAATGAAAAAGAATTGCATCCAAACACTGGGTTCCAGTTGATAAATTCATTTATCACTGGGGTGTGGCTTTGCAATTCAGAAACTGTTTTACAAGTTTTCTGAAACTGAACAATTAAGTAAACTTACTATAGATGATGTGAGTCAGGATCTGTCTGTTAGATAAGTTACAGATTAGCAGAGCAGAATGCGAAAGTAAACCATATGGTCTGGAGTGTATTATAGGCATCAATATGAGCTCATGCATAGTTTAATAAATGTATGAGATATGGGTGGATGGATGAATACATGGATAGATAAGAGATAAATAGGTAGTTAAGTAGATAGATAGATAGATAGAAAGAAAAAGAAAGCCTAAAGGCAGTGACATCCATCCCATACCATCCCAGTAACATTGTCTTAATCTCTAAATATCAGGCACCATAAAATCATCAAGACTCCTCGAATCACTGGTCAATCCTAGCGTTAAGTCAGGAAAAATATAAGTCTGGAACATCCTATGATAGCAAGAAGCAAGGGAACAATAAAGAAAAAGGGAGCTATATTTTAAAAAAATGAATCAATCTGAAAGTTTCCAATCACCAAAACTTGAATAAATCAAGCCAAGACTTTGCAACACAATTGAAGCAAAATGGAAAGAACAATATAGAGAACAAATCCATGAGTGAATACTAATACTGGATTAAGTAAACATAATAGAATTTTCTAATAAACATAAATAAATTTTCTTTAAAAAAAAAAAAGGAACTTGGATGTGCCATTTTGGTTTTGATCCAGCAGCTCTACATTAAAAATATCATCTCTCTGTCTAGAAAGATTGTTTAGTCTCATGTCAGACTGTTCTGAGAATTCCTATCAATAACATTCGCTTCTGTTTTGTAGGGAGAGACTGACATACGCAGTGAGAAGCAGAACCTCTTCCAAAATGCCCTTGTTGATGCCCACGGCCTGTGCATCTGTGCCTCCATGCAGCCTCCCAACCAAAGCCCAGTTCCCATTTCAGATTAACCTGGTCTTGCTGCTGTTTCCCACTAGTTTTCCTTCACAGATATTTTCCATGAATTCTGCAGTGTTCGTACTCAGCCACACTGTTCAAGATCCCACACTTAGGCATTAGAACTTATAAAAGTTCAAATGAGGCGAAATGGAAACACCATTATAAAAAAACTCATTATAAAAAAAAAAAAAGAACTCATAGAGTCTCTGTTAGTTGAAGGCCATTGGTAAGGTCATTACTAAAGTTGCAGTGTCTGAATACTGCCTCCTCGATATCAGGCACTAGATTAGGATACAATGATAAGCAAAAACAAATGAGGAAACTAGTAGAAAATGAGTGTTTATACTATAAGACACCTGGCTATGTAGAACTGGAACTAAACCAATCTCAAGAAAAATCTTCTGCAAAACCGAAGCAGAGGTGCTTGATGCTGAGGGCCCTACTCAGACAAATAGTTGGAAACAAATAGAGCAGCAAAGATTATTACACACGTTTTAGAAATATGTAAAGGTCAAAAATGGAGACTCGAAGGTAGGACAGTTTTTTAAGGGAGGAAAAGGCAGGCATTTTGCCTTAAGAAGTCTCCTTGGGACACTCACATTCCATGTCAGGGTGCCTAGCTTCAAGTGCCAACTCCACTTCTGATTCTAGTTTCTTGAGGATGAGCCTGCTGAGAAGCAGCAGGTGATGGCCCAATTAATTGGGTCCTTGACCCTGATTAGGTTCCAGTTTCCATTATGGATCCTAGCTTCAGAAGCCTGACTCTGCTCTAGCTATTTCAGACATTTGGAAAGTGAACAAGTGGATTCAAGATCTATCTGACTGCCTGTCAAATAAGCAAGAGAAAGTGCAAGAGAAAAAATAACATTAAAGGAAGAGCAGCAGGAGAGGGAAGCAGGAAGGCAGGAAGGAAGGGGCCTTGAAAACAAAGATGAGATGATAAAATCTGTAACAACTTGTCTAAAGTAGTTAACCGAGCCAGAAGTCTTCAGAAGCATTTTCCACTTTAAAGGAAAGCTTGATTAATCTTAAATAAAGGGAAAAAAAGAAATGTTATAAAGATGTTTAGCAACATCTCACTCTCACAACTCATTATTAGAATTCTTCATTATCACTTTTTAACTTACATTTTCATAGAAGTTAATTTACTCAGATTTGAGACTTCCATTTTGTTATTATGCATCCTATGCTTGCATTTTAAAATCTGAGACAACTTCTCTAGATTAAAACGATTCTGTTTCATTCTTTTCGGAAATGAAAGCATAGTCCAAAATTGGAACAGTTTGGATGTTTTTATTCTAAGCTTCATTAGCCTGCTTTGTAACATAAATGGGGAACTCATTCTACACCCTTATTTTTTAGTGCTTTATTTGAGATGAAAGATAAATTTGCATATGTGGCTGTATGTAATCATCTACATATAATTTAAAAATTGTATTACCTCCCATGTAATTTATTTTGCAAAGAAGTTTCTATCTGTTAAAGATTAATGTATTATTCCTTGCCTTAAGTAAAGTACTTACTACTTTAACTAGTAAGAATATCATCAAAGGCTACCACAAAAAATGTCCGAGCCAAATCTGCCCTACATTTAGCCCATTGGCACCCACAAAAGAATCCACAGGTATAAAGCCTATAACACAGTGGGCAAAAAGTGCCAGGATCCCATATGTGTGCTGGTTTCTGTCCCAGCTGCTCCACTTCCCATCCAGCTCCATGTTTATAGCCTGGGAAAGCAGTGGAGGACAGCCCAATGCTTCTGGACCCTGTACCCACAGGGAAGACCCACAAGAATCTATTGGATCTTGACTTCAGATTGGCTCAGCTCTAGCCATTGCGGACATTTGGCGAAGGAACCACAAGATGGAAGATCTTTTCCTCTGTCTCTCCTACTCTCCATAAATCTGTTCTGCCTTTCCAAAAAAAAAAGAAAATAAATCTTTTTCTTTAAATGTCTCAGGGAGGAGGATTTTTGGGGGCCAGATAACATGAGCTCTGGATTTGAATCCCAGCTCTGTGACTCGCAAGCTATGTAATCTTGACTGTTATTCACCCTCTACATGCCTCAGTTTCGTCATGTGCAAAATGGAGATAGTAAAACTATATGCCTCATAGTTACTATTTGATTTAAATATGAAAATACAGAAGTTGCCTAAACACAGCCTAAAATAAACATGTGTGTGTACACATTTAGTAGTTCTTACCATTTTCAATGAGTTCCCTGAGATCACAGTAAAATCAAATTAAATGGTCATTTGGTTGAGCCAATGTGGAAATTAATTGAATGATCGAAAAACAGTACTCTCAATACCATGTGACTGGTTTACAAAGGTGAGTCAACAGGGATGCTTTCCCAGGCACCTTAATGGAATATCAAGGCACCTGTCCAAAGATAGGGAGAGGATTAGGAACCAAATCCTTCCATCATTTGCATCTCTAGACATGCAGCTAAGAACTCAGAGACAAGCAAATGGAATGAGTTTGGAAAGGATGCATTCAGAGCTTTCTCCTGTGGCAGGAATAGCAGGTGCTATCTAGGAGCTGCCCCTCACAAGGGAGACAAAGCTTGCCGTCCAGACACTGAATAGGAACAACTCAGGATGACTGAGCCCTGCAGCTTCCCAGAGAATGAATTGCCAGCATTTGTCATCATTTTGCTTTTAATAATTATAGGCACTGAATGCATCATTGGTATAATTGCAAATGGGTTCATTGTGGTGATAAACGCAGCCATATGGATTCAGGATAAGGCAATTTCCACAAGTGGCAGGATCCTGTTTTTCCTGAGTACATCCAGAATAACTCTCCAGAGCTTCATGATGCTAGAAATGATCTTCAGCTCAACATCCTCATATTATTATCATTATTATGAAGATACCGTGTATGACATATTCAGAGTAAGTTTCACCTTCTTCAATTACTGCAGCCTCTGGTTTTCTGCCTGGTTCAGTTTCTTCTACTTTGTGAAGATTGCCAATTTCTCCTGCCCGCTTTTCCTCAAGCTCAAGTGGAGAATCTCTGGGTTGATGCCCTGGCTTTTGTGGCTATCAGTGCTCTTCTCTCTCACCTCCAGCATACTCCTTGGCAAGGACATCTACACCAAGTATTGCAACAATTCATTTTCTATCTCCTCCTCCAACTTCACAAAGAAGCTCTACTTCACTGAAACCAATGTGGTCAACCTGGCCTTTTTCTATAACCTGGGCATCCTCATTCCTCTGATATTGTTCATTCTGGCAGCCACCCTGCTCATTGTCTCTCTCAAGAGGCACACCCTGAACATGGAAAACAATGCCAATAGCTCCTGGGACTCCAGGATAGAGGCACACATAAGAGCCATCAAAGAAACCACCTACATCCTCTTTCTCTACATTTTCAATGCAGTTGCTCTGTTTCTTTTTGCATCCAACATCTTTGCCAACAACAGTTTCTGGAATATTTTGTTTGAAATCATCATGGCTGCCTACCCAGCTGGTGACTCTGTTCTATTGATTTGTGACAACCCTGGATTAAGAAGAACTTGGAAGCAGCTTTATCTTCAAATTCATCGGTACCTAAAAGGGTAGATTTTATGATACGCACTCAAAGAGGAGCACGAGTCCTGGCCCAGGCAACACTTCTCTTCCCTATTCAGACCTCTCTCTTTCCTTCCTCTTTTCTTTCACAAATTAATCTCATCTTCTCACCTCATGTGAGTTTCTCTTTCAGCTTGTATGTATGTGTGTGTATGTGTGTGTGTAGGACATTGATATTCATTTCTCTCATTTGCTTTCTGTGTACAGACCCTGGCTCTTTATATCTACCCACCCTTAGGGAGGGAATACGGACACTGGCTATACATTAGAACCTCAAAGGGTCTATTTTTTAAAACACCAGTATGTAAGCTCAAGTTTAGGTTAATTAAGTGATAACTTTCAGTGTTCAGATCTGGATGTTTTTCAAGCTTTCCAGGTAATTCTAACGTGCTCCTGGCAGCTCCTCCCTTTCCTCTTCACATTCCTTTTGAACAGAATCAGATTCCTGGAGAAGCTTTCTGAGCAGCAACTCAAAATGCATTTTTATCTTCACACTTTTAAGAAGTAACCTGAATCATTTGGCAATCATTTTTAAATCGAATAACTCATGAAAATGTAATAAAAATTACCCTCTAATTTTTTCCTATACATAAAATGTTTATATGAATTTTTCCTAGCAATATGATATTATATTTATATATACAAAACCATGAGCAAGAGGATCTTCATCACAGAATTATTCGTTGAGAGGAACTGAAGTCTAAAATGCAGTATAATATTGACCTTTATAATAAGGTATATGTATGTATCCAGAGATTAAAAGGTTTCCAAAAGCTGTAAAGTGTTAAAAAAAAAAAAGAAATATGTTTATGATTCCATTTGCTTCTTTCTTATTGAATATATATGATTTGTATATATTTCTGCATATAAAGCTTCTAGAAAAATGTGCCAATAACAATTAGCAGAAGATTTGTAAGTAGTGATAATAAGCCTCTGGGTATAAATGATGAAACATTCACACTGTCTTGTTTCTTTCTGTAATGTTTTAACTACTTACAAAAGCTATATACTAATTTTTCAATTAAATGTTACTATTGATGTATTGTGATGAGAAATAGATAAGTAAAAAAAAAAAAAAGATTTTCAGGAAGAGACAGGGTGTCTTTGTTGATTCTCTTTCAGCTTTTTTTTCCGGGAGGAGGGGGATGAGATGAGAACTTACCAAATCACAAATTAAGTATCCCACCACCTTTTCTTTTTTCTTTTTATTTACTCCAGGACTGCCACTGGAAAAGTGTAAGCTTTCAACCTGCTAGCATTTTCACATTCTGTTCTTTTTCCAGTCTCCTTGCCGCCCTCCTTTTCATGCTGTTTGGAATACTGGTCAATCATTATACTGCTCTTTCGAAAATACTTTCAGCATCCCTGGATAAAAAAATCCATCCTTGAAATTATTTTTTTAATCATCAGCATATGACCAAGGAGTAGAGAGAGGGCAAGTGAGTCATAATTTGACAACTTTCTTTCCAAAAGGCTTCGGGGGCAGGTATGGTAGAGCCGCTAAGTAAGCCCTGCTTGGACACTCTCATCCTATGTCAGATCAATATCACATATTAAAATGTGGGTTCTGATTCCAGCTATTCCACCTTCATGTCTCTGCCACCCATGTGGAGACCACGATGGAGTTCTGGGGCTCCTGGATTAGATCTGACCCAATCTTGTAGGCTGTAGATATTTGAGGAATGAACAGGCAAAAAAAAAAAAAAAAAAAGTACCTCTCCCTATTCCCAACTCAGTCCTTCAAATAAATGAATAGAAAAAATTTTTTTAAAGATCCTCCGTCGATGATTCACTCCCCAAGTGAGCACAACGGCTAGTGCTGCGCCAATCCAAAGCCGGGAGCCAGGAGCTCTTCCGGGTATCCCACACGGGTGCAGGGTCCCAAGGCTTTGGGCCATCCTCAATTGTTTTCCCAGGCCTCAAGCAGCAAGCTGGATGGGAAGCGAGCTGCCAGGATTAGAACCGGCGCCTATATGGGATCCCGGCGCATGCAAGGCAAGGACTTGAACCACTATGTTATCGCACCAGGCCCAGAAAGTCCTCCACTTTAAGACACATTTGAAATATAATTTTATATAAATGAATCATACAATACTCTAACTTTGTGGCTGTTCTTATTCAACTCGGTAATGTGAAATAAAATCACATCTACAAGAGTTTACTTAACATTCTAAGGAACTTGCAAACATTTCCATAACTGGATAAACTTAGGTTCCTACAAATGTACTCTTCAGCCTCCAATGAATACCATCACTGAGCATTTCTGTCCTATATTTTCCTAGATCTGTTGCCCATCATCAAGTTAGCCTAGCAGTTCAATGCTTGCCTTGCATCAGCAAGGATCCCATATGGGCACTAGCTCGTGTCCTGGCTGTTCTAATTCCCATCAGCTCCCTACTCGTGGCCTGGGAAATCAGCAGAGGGTGGCGCAAAGCCTTGGGACCCTGTGCTCACATGGCAGGCCCAGAGGAAGCTCCTGACTCCTGATGCCTGACTCCCAACTCCTAATTCTGGCAACAGCTCAGGTCTGGCTATTGCAGCCACTTGAGAGTGAACCAGCAGCTTGAGAGTGAACCAGCAGATGGAAGATCTTTCTGTCTCTCTTTTTCTCTATAAATCTGCTATTCAAACAAAAATAAATAAATCTGAAAAAAAAAATCCACAGTAAGCTGGAAATAGAGAGCTTAATAGGTATCAAGAAAATACTTCTGAGAAAGTATTTATGGAAAAGTATGGAAACTATTTATGGAAAAGTATGCCCAATTTGGGGAGTACATATCACAATCCACGATCGTTTATCACTGTTTTCTGATAATGCTGAGAGGTTTTCTTCTACTGCCTGATTTCCAGAAAGTTGTCTATTACAAGCATCACAACTGAAAATTCTCAAGTATGGCTTATTTTAACAAAAGTTTCACCAACACATACAAAAACAGAAGGTTCCTCTCATTATAGAAGTGCACTTAGAATTAAGATCATATTTCTGCTATTTAAAAAAAAAAAAGATTCATTTATTTGAAAGGGATCGCAACAGAGAGGAGGGAGGTGCTCCATCTACTAGCTCACTTCTCAAATGACCACAACAGCCAGAGTTGAAGGTCACAAATGTCATCCTGGTTCCACACCTGAGTATTAGGGCTTTGAGTATTTGGGCCATATTCTGCTGTCTTCCCAGGAAGCACTGTATCACAATAAAGACCCTTAAGATTACTTTTTAATTGTTATAGCTATCAAAGTAATATTGACTTATGGCCAAAAGAAAATAAATAAATACTGAAGTTGTTTTGTGAAAAAAATATCCTTCTCCGGAAGTAATATTTCTTTCAGAATCTGAGTTGAGGTTAATTGTATGATTATTCTCATAGGTCTAAATATAGACACACAAAATTTTTGTACATTTGAAAATAATATTCATTGGCTTGTGACTGTGAAACATGAGGATTTAAATGCCAGTATGTTGCTCTCAAACTACTCTTTTCCCCATTTTTGTGTTTATCGATTGCTCTCATTTCCTTTATGTTAGAGGAAGGTAATTCAAATGTTAACTTATGTTCAACTATTTGTAGCCAATATCTGATAAATCTACATTACATATAAGAGTATTTTGTACTCTGTCCTTCCTTCAACAACTTTTCCCATATGCCAACCTATAACTTCTGAAGGGAACATGTTCCCTCCACTTTGTCATCTGGTCTTCTGTGAAGCCCATGAGTTATCTTTATATTGATCCTACAGGTGCAAAATCAGTAAACAGTATTTCTAACATTATGACTAAAAATATTTGACTCAAAACCAAAAGCTGCCTTTCATTAAAGACAATGACACAATTCATAGACCCACGCAGACCAAAGGAAATGGTTTCCAGGAAAAAAAAAAAAAACATCAATTGCAAGTTATAAGTTTCAATGCACAAGTCAAGTCCTTCAAGTACTTGGTCACTTTGAATTTCAGAAGGAAAACTTTGACCTTTAAAGTATAGAGTCTGATGCTATCTATAGGCTTATCATATATGAATTTTATTGTTGCAAGGTAAATTTTATTTCTTTCAATATAACTTGTTGAGTTTCATGGATTTGGTCTGGCCCAGTCTGACACTTTTGGCCATTTAGGGAGTGAACCAGTGGTTAAAAAACATCTCTGTCTCTCCTTCTCTCACTGTAACTCTCTATTTCAAATAAATAAAATAATTTTTTTAAAAAAGAAACTTCTTCTTAACGGCATATTTCTTAAGTGATTTTTATTATGAAAAAAAAATGATAAGCCTGTGAGGTGATGGATATATTTCACTGATTGTGGTATTTGTTCTTCAGTATATACACATGCCAAGCATATTCAATTGTATTTGTCAATAATATCTCAATAAATGTTAAAAAAAAATTTTCAACTTAAAACACACAAACCCAGCACAGTAGCCTAAGTGGCTAAATCCTCACCTTGCAACTGCCAGGATCCCATATAAGCACCAGTTCCTGTGTCGGTTGCTCCACTTTCCATCTAGCTCCCTGTTTATAGTCTGGGAAAGCAGTAGAGGACAGCCCAAAGCCTTGGTTTTCTGCACCTGCAAGGGAGACCTAGACGTTCCTGGCTCCTGGCTTCAGATCAGCTCAACTCTGGCCACTGCAGTCATTTGGGGAGTGAACCAGTGGATGGAAGATCTTTCTCTCTTTCCCTCTGTAAATCTCCCTTTGTAATATAAATAAACAAATCTTTAAAAAATACTAACAAACAAATCTTTTTTAAAATTAAAAAGAATGAAAACACACAACAAATATTACTAAACTTTAAAACAAAAGAGAGGAACCCTGTCACTTGCATCAACTTTGATGAACTTGGAAAACATGCGAAGTGAAAATAGGCCACATAGAGAGGGACAATCACTGCATACTCCAACTCACATTAGCAATTTAAAGTGATCAAATACAGAATAGAGGAGTGGTGACCAGAGGCTGAGGGTGGGGAAAGGGTGGGGTCTAAAGTTTCAGTTATACAAG